TTTTAATTAAAGGCGTTAAGTTGGCTAATGAATGCGGCAATAGCAATGAGCATCCAAGTGCACTCACTCTCCTGATGGAGCAGCTCGGTCCTGGGCACGTTCCTAACCAGTGAACAGTCTTGAGGCAGTCAGTTAGTCATTCCGGAGTGCACATGCAGGATAAGTGAAAAGCATTAAATAAACAAACTGGCGAACAGCTACACAACAACTGCCAAACAACAGCCGGCAGGAATGAAAGCTTACAAACTGCACTGAAAATAAGGAAAAAATGCGGTAACAGGAGAGGTTAGGAAAAATCATAGGTGACTATAGGATACTCTAACAAATTGAAACTATATTTTAGGGGAAGAGAAAAAGTCGGAAATATTATAAGGGCCAATATATTTAGATATTTTTTAATGCAAAAATATTAGGAATTATTTAATATAGATATTTAGATTATTATTCTAATAATTTTATTAATTTAGTTAGTAAATTATATATATATAGTGTACCAACTACTACACTTGGCAGAAATTAAATACAAATTAATCAATGAATTAATAATTTTGTTAAAATGCAAAACCCAACACACTATACCCTCCTGTTTTGATGTCATGACAACTGCGCGTGTAATGTCCAATCAAAAAATCCTTGTAGCCATCATGAACAGGATTTGAGCACGCTCATTGCTTGGTGTATATGTAGTAGCCGGGATGTTTTATTTTCGTGCCCCATAAAAATGTTCTTTGGTTACGAAATCTGATGCATTTGATAAGCGTCACGTTCTGCACGCCAAAAAGCAAGCTAAAGCATTTTCCGCTTTTCACCGAGCTTGGGCAACCGATTGCCGAGCACTTTATTATCTATACCCCTGTTGGGGGCCAGGACTATGCATTTGTTTGCCACTTACACTTACTCGCACACACACACACACTGTGGGGAATAACAAAATGGCGAATCGAGGTACGTACCTGTAAAGAAAGGATACAGAGAGAGAGAGCATTAGTATGAAATCTTGGCAGAACACACCTGGAAAAAAAACACCCAACCCAGCGCCCGTTGCAATTGCATTAGAATTTAAGATAAGTTCGAAGAGAGTGCGAGTAATGGCAATGGGATTGGATGGAGGCAGTGCCAGCTCACAGATTGGGATACTCGGTTTACTGGCTGCTCCTTCCGCCTGTTGTGTGTAGTAAGGCAACTTGTTTACCAAACTTTATTACAACTTGGCAAACAGTCGTCGCCTTTGTAGCTAGCTCGAGTAGAGTTCTGTTGCTTTGTCTGCTAACTGATTGCAGTTACAATCAGTTTATTGTACGAGCCTCTCTCCAGCAGCAGGATACAGATTCCCTTGGACACACACAAGCACCTGAAGCTGATGCTGCTGCTGTTGCCGCTGCATTGTATCCCGGCAGCCATGTGAAACATGGTGGGAAAAGGACTTTGTAACAAGCTGCCTGAAAACGATGCGAAAGTCGGCACCTGAGAGCGGATAATTCGCAAATTGTATAACTTGAAGTAGTAAACTTTGTGAGCATTAGAATTACATAGTAGCAAATGGTAATAGAAATTTACCAACAGTTATCAATAAAATTCTATTTAATTTATAAGTTTCTCTCCTCAAAATGTTACCTAAATGTTACTTAAATTTTCAAGAGGAAACCCAATGACAACCCTCCATAATTCATAACCTTTAATGAGCAGAAAATGCCAGTTTTGCAATTTAAAATCAATTCCTCCCATTTTCACATCATTTTGTCACCCACAAAAATTACTGAACCCGAAATCAAAAATCAATAGAACCATATACAACCAAGGAAAAGGCAAAATGTCATAAGTGATTTCCTGTTCCGTTTCACGTTCCAATCAAGCGTAAAATAATTTTGTAAAAATATTTACACAACTCCCGGGGCACCGTAGCCCGAACACCGAACCCAAAAAATATGAAAGTGAGGACAGTTGCAGTGAAAGATGAAAAATGAATGGGAAAATGTGAAAAGCTAATGGCTCGCCCGCCCGGTTGGGATGTTGTCGCCTCTTTGACGGCTGTCCAAGGTTTTCGGTTTTCGGAGCCACTCAACCAAGTGGGTTGTCCCCGGTGGCTCATCTTATTTCGAAGCGGTGCGCTTGAATGCGTATCCGCCGCCACTGACGCCCCCAAATAGAATGTGTACATCAGTGTCAGATTAGGGCGTGGCTGTGGGCCAAATCACAGACATAACCGCCACTACACCCACTCGCACTATGACACAGGCACTGCCAGAGCTTCCTAAGAAGGCGCATAAATTCCAGACACAGCCGCCCGGGTGATTTGTGGCACGGAGACCACATCAAACATGGAAGATTTTCACTGGTCGCTGTGTGTGGAGTGTGGAGTGTGGAGTGTGGAGTGTTGCGACGGGCACCGAGGTGGAGGAGGTTTCTCAGACAGAGACTAAGTGTGGGTTAAGCACACTTGAAGTATGTGCACGCTTGGGTTAAGAAAAAGGATTTGCAGGCACACCAAGGAGATCCCGTGCTGAGCACCTCTCATTCTCTATTTTGCTCGTTTTCCCAGTTGGAAATGCACTGCGAAAAATGTTGTAGGGACTTGAATTAAATGTAAATTATTCCTATTAAATGATTTAAGTATAAAAGCTTCCTGGAAATTTAGAAAATAAATTTTAAAAACAATATCTAATAAGGTTGGCTTGGCTTTTAGATTATTTTTAATACCATTTCACTATAATTCCCATTGTCAAAATATTAGTAATATTAGAATATATGATATTTTTCATAAAAAATAAAATGTAATTGCCATAATTTTTGTTCAGTGTAAAATAACTGAAAAAGAAAACTCCCAAGCCACCCAAACTCTGACAAGCAGAGCCATTCACGACTGTATGGTTGATGGTTTGGGAGGAAAATATGAAAAGTCGTCGTCTTGCCGGGAAAGCTGAGTTGGGATCTCCTGCCAAGGTGAGGATTGTGGTCTCAATGCGGTCCTGCGGTCCTTGCGGCTTACGACATACGTATACATAAATATATCTATATATACGGAGTGTTGATACTTCTTTCCTGTATTTTTGTTCTTGTGCCTTTTCCTCTATGCGACAGCCACGTGTAATGCAATTATATTGAGGCAGGTTTTCTGTCACAACTTTTTCACTTTTCCTGCACACACATATATTTTTCACTCCAAGGAATTGGATAAAATGGATAAGGACAAGGTAAACAGGAAGCAAAGAACTATGGAAACTATACAGGAATTTATATAGACATTAAGGGAATGACTTGGAAAAGACTTTCCTGGCCGCTTGAAAGTGAAAACTTGCTCGTTTTATCTCCGGATCGATCCATTTTGCCGCCACAAATCCCAGCAATTTACGGCAACAGGCAGCCAGGATAATTGCCAAACTTTATTAACGGAAACACCAAAAAACGAGGAGACAAGGACAAAGGACCCACTGCAGGAAAGATGGAGTTGCGGTGAATTCGGCGCGTCCATGAATATGAAATGAAGTCAAAAGCCCACAAGGACCATGCCTAGACAAAGGGAGCAGATCCCCGTTGGGAGGCTTTTTCGGAAGTCCACGGAGTGCGAGGGCCATAAACAACAATTTATAAGCTTTAATGAAAATTGGTTGAGAACTCCAAGGGGTGCGGGCTCTTTTTTAGGGGAGACTTGCAAATAAATTAACTCCGTCTAAACCGGCAAATGCAAATTAAGAGAGCGTTGTTTACACCTCGGACAGCCATTAAATTTATGCCTTGTCCCCGTGCGACTGCTCATAAATCCAGCAGCTTTTTGCCTACATCACAGGCAACGGTACTGGCAAATTGTGTGTCCTTTCGCTTTCGACGACAAATGCATATGGAAATTTTATGCAAATATCCATTGTGTCAGCAATTTGTAACGAATTTGGGATGTGAAATTGCTAGCTGGCAGCAAATTTAATTTTCCCCGAGCGGTGGGTAAATCGAATTGCATAAACGTCAATTTGCTAATCCAATATTTGAGCTAAAGTTCGGCGCTTGGCGGCGTTTTAAGTGCCACTCTTCAATTTCAACTTTCGGCTGGAGGACTTTAAGTGGCGATTGCAAAGTTTCGCCACCGCCTGCCCCGCCGCCTGCTCCTGCAACTGAAGCTGACAAAATATTATCTGATTACTTTACTCCTCAGAAACGTCCCCAAAGAGTGGCTGACAGGAGGAGAAGAAAGAAAAGCGTTGGAATATTTTCAAAATAAATGTTATTGTAGCAAAAGTTAGTGCAACTGATAAAGAAAGGGAGGGGAGGCATCCTCCTTGAGGTCCTGTTGATGGCACTTTGATGGCGGCCAAGGACTTGGAACTTGGTCAGCTTCAATTACTCGGATCTCTGGATACTCGGCTCCTCGGATACTGGGATAGTTCTCTGCCAGGCCGTGACTGGGCCGCATTAGGAGCAACCGAGGGCATCATCATAATCAACAGTCCACAAAAGGAACGGCCAACACGTGACTACACCACAAAACTCTCAGGAATATAAAAGTTTCCCCCGTACTCCGTCCTTGCGGCAAATGAGCTGCTGGCATTTCGGCTGCTGTTTCCATTTTTTTTTTTTTTTGTGTTCTGTTTTCCCGGTAGCTGTCTGCACTTAATGGAAAATGTCAGTTCGCCTCCGGCGTCAAACGTTTTATTGAAGTTTTCACCGAACTCGGGGCACCGAACACTCAAAACCTCACAACTGTGCGTCATCTGCTTTCCTTTGGCCACCTTGCCGATTTTTCCCGCTCCTCAGAAGCAAGTGTAGAGTCCTTGCCTTGGCCAGCCGTTAAACTTAACGAACCGGAAGTGGTAAAAGCAGAAGTGCAGGTCTTCTTCGCTCTGCTCCTCAGACAAGGTAATATGATGAGGAATCCGCGCTGCCAAATTACCGTGAAAAATTGTTGCTCATTTTAAGGGGAAAAAGTATAAAGAATAACTGGTAAATGTTGCAAGAATTTAAATGTTTTCGAAATAAAATCTAAGGAGGCTAAGCATGACAAAGGAACAATTTAAATGATTATAGCTTGGAATATTCTTTCACCTTCAGTTAGCCTCCAAAAATCATTCAAAGCAAACTCATATTTTAAAGAAAGGAAAGCTAAGGTTTTACAATGAGTAGCAAAATGAATAAATCCAAATCAGCCGCCCCAAAAAAGGTGGAATCTGCTCCAAAAACTATTGAGAAAACTGCAGAATCAAAGAAACAAATTTTTAGTTGCCAGTTTGAGGTCTTTGGAGTTGTGCAGGGTGTCTACTTTCGCAAGGTAAGCTCTAAATTATTTTTATGCATTTTTTTAAGGTAAAAAAAAATGAATCTTCTGATATAAGCACACTCAAAAACAAGCCCAACAGTTGGGCCTTACTGGCTGGTGCATGAATACTAGTCGCGGAACTGTGCAGGGCATGATGGAAGGACCTCTAGAGCAAGTCAATGATATGTGAGTGTCCTAGCAGACTCATAAAGCACAGCATATATTAAGAATACCCTCTTTTTTTTGTAGGAAAACCTGGCTAAAATACAAGGGCAGTCCTCGTTCCTCCATTGAGAAAGCTGTGTTTTCTGAAAATGAACCTCTGCCCATTCATAACTTCAAGATGTTCTCCATACGCCGCTAACGTTGAAATTTTCTATACAATTTTAGTAACCTAACTGTGTTAATCCGAGAATTATTTCGGAGAATTCAAAGTCCCTGTCACGTAATAAATATTTCTGTTCCTGCTCCCAAAACAATTGGCATTTAAGTGTTGACCAAAAGTTGGCCAACTGTCTTTATTTTTTCGGCCCATCTCTGGGGTTCTGCGTGATCTCTGCGGTGGCTGGCCAATTAGTAAGGCCATGAGCCATCGTAAATGGCTTTCCTAATATTTTTCCATGGCAATTTTTACACACTGATGCTGCGCCAATTGTCAAAACAATTTCAGTTTTGTTTTTTTTTTTTTAGCCATCAGATCGGGCAAAGTTTTGACTCTCTGTTGCTGCTGCTGCTGGAGTTGCTGTCAATTTTGCGACAAATATTTTGCATTCCGAAAAAGGCAAAACAAATTTACATAAATAAATAAAAGTTGACTGAGTTCACAAATGGTAACAGTTGGCGTCTGATGGCAATTAAAAGCCTCTGCGCCACTTTCCACCGTTTGTTTTTTATTGTGTTTATCTTTTCCACCAGGGGATGGATCCTGCCAGCTCCAAGCTGACTACGCTGGATGCTCTCTCCGCCCTGCTGTTATTTATTTGCATTGTTTTGTGTGTCTGTGGCAAACACTTTATTATAAACTGTTGAAACCGCAAAAAGTGCGGGCTAAACCAAATTGTTTTCATAGTGTCCCCGGGAATGGGCTCTCATGGAAACATTCGTTCGAAATTCAGCACCCCTTTATGGCCCAGGTTGGCCATTAATAAAAGCATTAAGATAGCAGGCATATATTTACCACTGCCACTAAAAAAAATTTTGGGGAAAGCAGGCAAAGTATGAAAATATTTTACCAAAATTACCAAATTTATTGAATAAAGTTGTATGAACGCGGAAACGTAAACTCTACTACAACTAAAGGTGGCCTCTTGTTTCACTTAAGATCTTGGAAAGCGGCCCATATCCTGCTCCTGAAGCCTCCTATTTCTGGCCCGGAGTATTGTCTGGGCATCCTTTACCTCCTTGGACAACTCTCGACTAAGCAAGCGTCTATATAGAAGCATCTTGCGCTTCGTTTCTGGTGTACCAAGGGCGGTGCTGAACTGCAAGCCAGGTTGACGCTGGCCACTAGATGATGATCTAAAGAAATGGTTCCAGATAGGATATAGAAATGCTGATTAATGGATACAGAGTTGAAGCTACTTGTATAATCTTTCAGATCTAAGGACAGCTCAACTCAGGGTTTTTAGTGGTTGCCCTAAACTTACGCCTTATTGTCAGACATTCCGGTGAAAAAGAATTTTATTAGTTGAGCCGGGAGTTTACGTTATAATTTTGAAAGATTTTGATAACTAAATGGGAATCAAAACAAACCCATACGTTAAGGTTAAAGTCAGGCCAACCCAGATCATAGAAATATTTTTTTTAAAGCAGAATATTTTTATTATACAAATGAATTTTAAAATAGAATTAAGAAACCCGGCATTGAAATTATAAAAATCAAATCAAATCAGAAATCTATTTATATAACTCAATTGTGAAAAGGCGCTTTATAATAATTTCCCTACTTTGTTATGGACTTTTCTTGTGCATTTTCCACTGTTACCATTAAACGAGAAGCCGCCAAATTAAGTCATTAAATGCCACCGAATTCGGAATGCACAGCGAGCCAAACGACAACAAGGCACGCAAACAGATACAATGAAAACCACTGGGGGGACCAGGGCATGGGGAGTCCTTTAGAAAGCATTTCTGGGTAGAGAAAAAGTGAAACATGGAAAGGGGTGGGATCGGCTAAAAGCCGGATTCAGTAGCGCCGATAATCAATTCCGTTTCCGGCTGACAGTTTGCCGCATCGTGCGTGACCCAGAATATGCATAACCAGAGCCAGAAAAATAATAATAATTGTAATAATTTCGGGGGCAGCGCCCAACATCGGAGGCGTGGCTACAAACTCGCGTGCTCGCGTGCAGTTGGGAAACCGAGGAAAAGCGTGGAAAACCCGAGCTCTATTAGCCGCTTGATAACGAGTTCATTGACGAGTTCATTGGCACATTCATTGATTCCAATTGATCCGGGGAGCAGTACCTCGAATGCGGTTAGTGTGGCGGAGCTCGTGAAAATATATATATCAAGCGATTATTTCGGAATCGGAAACTATTCCCCGCTGCTGTTCGAATATTTAACGGCTTTGCAGCCCTAGAACTGCACATGGCTTATTAGCCATGCAGACCATGTTCCTAAGGCCCGCTGACTCTACTCCAAATCTCAGAGCACAGACACACAGAGAAAGGCTCCAGACGGCTACGTGGGGCCAAACTGCCGCATCAGCCGGGGAAGCAACCAACATCCTCTGCCCCTGCGTTGTCTAGACACAAAACCCATTTCTATGCCACCCAAAAAAAATTGTTCTCACTGCGCAAATGTTGCATTATAGAGGCAGCCAGTGTGGCAGTTGGGTTCGAGTTTAGATATAGAAACAGCCGTTACCCCAAAGAAAAATCTTATTAAAATTGTACAGCCACAATTTCAGCTATCAAAAAGGAAACGCCAAGAGCCATTTGGCCAGGCAAGGAAATCCTTACCTTTTCTCTAGCTTTAAACATGTTATTTATATTTTATATAAACAGGAAAATTCATCTAAAACCATATAAATTCTTGTATTCAAAATTACACGTCACGGTTTCCCACAAATTAAGGAAAACTTTAAAGTATTTCCTGTGGAATTGCATGCCCTGGCCTCGTGTTGCGTGGCAATTTGATGAATGTGTTCCTTGATTAACCCTGATCCCAGGTCAAAACTCCTGTTCGGTCATGGAATCATAGGGTTTTAGGACCCCTTTGCATGCAGTTGGAAAATTTTCAGCGGCCGGCAAACTTTGCATAATAAATGAACGCGATAAGAATGCTGTTTGTTGCCTTCTTCGGCTTTGTTTATGTTTATGTTTTCTTGGTCCTTTATTTTTATGAAAACCTAGAGGCCACCAGGCAGAGAGGAAACTTTTGTAGACGTATCCCAAGCGCTTCGGGGCAGCGAACAAAGTTGGCCTGGCTTTGAAGATTGCCACACAGAAGGCCTTTTGTTTCAGTTCTCTCCAAACAAACGGGTCAAATTGGCCTTTGAACTTATCTTCAAAATGCCAAAAAACCATTTTAGTCAGTCAGTTAGTCAGTCACTCAGTCCACAATGTAACGTGAATCAAAACGGGTCAATTTTTTGTTAACATCAAAACTCTATTAAAATTTCGTTTTGCAAAATGGAAGAGCCCAAATTTGTAGAAGATAACGATATTTTACCAGCCGACAAAATCAAAGCAGCAAGTGCAGATGGTGAAATCAAGGAATCGTTTTCCCCCAAGCCATCAGACCAGGAAGAGGTTTTTAAAGAGGAACAAGCAATCCCGAGCGCCGAGAGAGAACCAGAACCACAATTGAATGTGGAGAAACTTCTGGATAAAACGGTTAAAAAGTCCCAGAAAAATAACGATTCGTTCGAAGAAAACCCAAGAAAAAGTTCTATAACGTTGAAGAATGATGACGCCAACAATGAGATCTCGCCGGCAGCTGTCTCAAACCTTAGCAAACAAGAACAAGAGTTAAATGAAACAATGCCAGTTGAAACCCCCAACATAGAGCAAAATCACATACAATCCCAAACTGAAGAACTTAGTCCCAAGGAAAATTCCACAGAGACAACTTTAAAGAGTCAAACGCAGGCTGAGGAGCAGAACGGAGACAAGAAATCTACTGCAGCACAGGACGAGACCAGGAATTTAAAGGAAAATCAAACTATTGAGGATCAAGTGACGACAACGACGTCCCAAGCAGTTCAAGAACAGGAGACCAAGGACACCAAGTTGAATACGTTTGAAGCAGTTAAAGAACAGAAGGAGTCCGTGGACACCAAGCTGAATACTTTACAAGCAGTTCAAGAAAAGAAAATGGAGCCCAAGGACACCCAGTTGGATGCCGCGAAGAAGCCGTTCATTAAAGAAGCACGTGGAATAACGCCGGCAGAGAATTTCGTAGAATCATCTAGGAAAGACAGAGCCAAGGATATTCTATTGGAACAGGAGAATAGAAAAACCTGGAAGACTTTACTTGACGAGGTCAATCAGGTCTCTTCCCTGTCCGCTTTTAAGTAAGTTTTCTATATAAACCATAATTAATAAGGTATTAAACATTCCCGTTCTCACAAGTACACTGTATGAAAAGTCCTCCCCTGTACGCTCTGCAAAGCAGCTGTACAAGAAGAAGATGCAGATACTCAGAGACAACTTCACATACCGCTTGGGGCTTCTCAAGCAGCTCAAAGAAGCCATTAAAGATAAATACCGTAGCGAGGCCCAGCAGCTCTACTCCGACTACACTACCTCCAAGCACAGGAACCGATATCTAGATATCAATAACAAACACTCCTCCGACTCCCAGGAGTCCCTGGTGACAGCACCCGGTGAGAGCCTTATGGATTTGGACACCCTGGGCTAGAGAACCACAACCAGGACTTATCCCGGCCGGGAAGGCCTAAAGATGGCCCTTGGTTCCTTGCGTTCATTATGTGCACTTCTTGCTTTGCATCTTGAAGAGGCAACAGGCAACAGTGTATAAATTCTCCAGCACTCGGCTTTAATTTGTGCCACTTCTGTTTTGCATGACGAAAAGAAAAGGCTTCACACCGAAGAGCAAAGACAATAAAAAAAAAATTGACCCAAATACTACCTGGCTTTCTATTGTAATTCAGCTTCCTCTTGGTATTGTAATTTATGGACTGACAGAGGGGAAGGAGAGTGGAATTTTTTGGGGTCGCAGCAGTTGGGAAAATGTAGAGCAGTGAAAAGAACAAAAGGAGTGAAGTATCCTGAGGGCTTTGTTTAAGTTGGATTTTAAATTTAAGGTGCGGAGAATAAAATTACAGATATTTTAAAGGGATAGAGATAATTGTTTACAACCTAAACTATATAAAAGAAATAACCAATATATATTTCTACTTTAGTTAAAGCTTCTTTTAGCTTTTTCTTAGCTTCTTCCGCGTTGGAAAGTCTTTAAACTTGGCCAGATTTTCCAATAAGAACTGTCATCATTGCCGTGAATGGAAATCGCTCTCCCCCGGGCGGATAATCCGTTCAAAGCCGCCAAAAATCTCTGGCGTTTTTGTTCAGGATGTGAGGCTGGAAAAAAAGTGGGCACTCGGCCGGATAGACGGACACTCGTGGCAGGCGCTTAGCAACAGACAGACAAAGCTGCAGGCCTAAGCTCCTCAGACACCCACCCACCCACAGCCACCCCCTGCGGCGGCTTACAACAAAGGCAAGTGGTAAATAAAGGCCGAAAGGCAAAAGCGCCGCTGTCAGCGGGCGTCGAAATGGAAATCAAAATCCGAGTCCCATCGAAATCAAAGCAAATCAATGCGAAGCCTACTCTCACTCCCCCAGAATAAATTTGATGAAAATTGAAAATTTACTTTGCCAATTGCGATGGCAGCAAGGGCTCGACAATGAAATATGTCAATTTCAATTATGACCCACCCACGCCCCTTGCTGCCGCGGGCTAAAAAATTACTTGTCCAATCCCCGAATTTATTTCAACATTTTCACATTCCCAACAAATGTGTCAATTTCGCTTGTAAAGCTCTATCGATTGCAGAATTGGCAACGCCTAGGAAAATCGCCTTCAATTGGGGGGTTGGGCCCTGGCCCCGGTAATTATAGTTGTTACGACGGGTCATGTTAGCCCGGAATTTGCTGACAGTTGTCAGCAGCCCGAGGCTGGCGAGGATTGCGCAAAGTTGGAGGTGGAGGAGAAGAACTTGCCAATAAATCGAATGTTCTTTGTGGCAGCTTATTTACTTATGCAAGTTTAGTTTGTTTTAATCAATGGAACAGTCTTTTAGCTACGGTTTTATTTTCTTTTCTTTTTGTAATTGAATTGAAAGAATTTTGCATTCTAATTAAATGTGGCCTAATCAAAAACGTTAAATACTAAATAGTATTTTAAAGCTTACTGATGTATATAATTTATTTTAAGGGCTGTTATCAAAGCAATCTTATTATATTTTGATGTGATTAATTACAGTATTTATAAAGAAAATATTATTAAACAAGAAAGAAAGCTAACTTTGGCCAGCCAAAGTTTGTATACCCTTGCAGGTAACAATTAAAATATATCATAACTAAGCCAAAAATGCATTAATTTCGATTCGGAAAGCAGTTTTGTGTTAGTTTTTAATAATTTAAAAAACTGCATACCAAATTTAAAATTTAAAGAAATGAACATTTTTGGCCATTTTTGCTAATTTTAATGATGTAACCCCTTATAAAATTTTGCAAAAATGGCCCAAAAATAGATTTCTTCCTGACATATCTAGAATAATTCCCCTGTTGATGCTGATCAAGAATACATATACTTTATAGGGTCGGAAACGTCTCCTTCACTGCGTTGCAAACTTCTGACTGAAATTACAATATCCTGCAAGGGTATAAAAAATGCACAAATGCAAGACTTGTTCTGTTAGTAATTTTAATATTTTTTTCAACGCTAAATGACTTCAACACAAAATATTTTCCTAACCAAAAACATAATTACCCAGCTCACAAATCACTGCAAAAAGTTGGTTGAGCTAACGTGAGATTTCCTGTAATATAAACTCCTGATGCACCAGGCTGGCTTTATCAATGGGAACTATCAAAAGGCCATAAAACTTTCGCTCGACACTTTGCAGACAGGAAATATGACAGGCGGCGCTGCAGCACAATAAAACGGGTTGTTGCTGCCGGTCATTTGCCAAGTCCAACTGGCTAACAGTCTAACAGACTGACAAACTGACTGACTGTCCACCAGATTGATTTGCAATTGGAGGAGCAGGGCAAGAGCAGGAGCTGGAGCTGGACTTGAAATTGAAATTGAACTTGAAAAGTGCACAACAGACAGGCGAGGCGTCGCAATGACAATCACAAGGCTCTCACGATTACACAAAAGCCAGCGAGCAGCAGAAAATAAAATGCCACGACTGCGACAACTCCCGGACTCCCTGTTGTCGATATGATCTCGTCATTATGTCGCCAACGGCAGAGACTATGGCCCAGGGCTGAGGAGGAACCGAGATGAGAGGGTCTGGGCTGAGGAACTCTGGAGGAGCCAACGGCTATGGTGGCGGAAGACGTCTGCAAGTTGCGTCGTGTGGGCGACACTTTTATGTGAAATTGATGATGATTGAAAGCTGCATGAGATGGAAAAGCGAAGCATTCCTAGACATGACAGCGTGATACTCACGACAAGCGACCATAAAACCGGGTATGATAGAAAGATCAATAAAATATATGGCAGGGAAGTAAGCGATATTTCTAATCCAATTTGGAAATAACACTTTTTTTAAATGGAGGATATTTTGTATGTAGCCGTAAAAAATATTGACTGATATAAATAAATAGAGGGAAATGGGATTACTCACATATTATTAATTAATAAATTATTATTAGTTCTTTAGACCGATTTAATTTTTTCAAAAAAAAACCCACGTCTCATCTCTAGTGGAAATCATAAAATGCCTGTTCCTTCCACATGTCGGCATACGAATTAAACAATTAAAAGGAAAAACAAGCTGTATTCTTTGCCATGTTACCCACTCCCAGCTAGCTTCCCATTTAAGGCTGGCCACAGATTTTTATGGCGCCACGATGTTCTTTAAGATATATGTGTCAAAACTACTTCTGTGCCATCGTAAATTTAATTCATGGGCGTCTGCGTCACCAGCTGACGATTGTCATCATCGCAATGATCATCCCCATCCCAATCGCAATCAGTATCTCGTGTGGGACTTGTATACGAATGCGAATGCGAGGGCTCATTGCATTTTTATCACTTACGCGAAATTGGTTTTTATGTGTCGGGAGTCTCATGTGCGCCTATTAAGTGGAAACGCCACGCCGCCTCCTATTCCCGTGGCAACCGCACTCACTCACCGACAGCAATTCCGCAAACGCAACTATAGTAAGTAAGTGCCCTGGCGGGAGTGCTACACGTAATACGTATACGCAGGGAGGGCCCGCGGAGTGGCCGTTTAAGCAACGATGACAATCAGCCGAAGACACAGTCAAGTGATATATGGCAGAGCACTTTCAGCCCATGGAATTAGGTCTACGCAGGATGGTTTTCTTGTCATTGTTTTATTGATTTATAGAAACAGCAGCCCGCTGATTGCAAGAGACAATTTAGCTTAAACTTACGCACTTGTTTTGTGGGATTTGGAATAACAGAGACAATCATCGGAGCATTAATGTAATGTAATGAAAGTAAAAAAGAAATTTCATTTAATTAAAATTTAAATTGTATTCAGGGTTTATTACATAGACTATATTTGTAAGTTCCAAAACAATTCTTTAGCAAATTTCACACCATTTAAAAGTATTTAAATGACATATCCTTAACTCCAACATGTTCCCTCAATTTATAATCCTATGACTTACTTAAAATCGCTACAAATTTACCTTCTAATAAAATTCATAAAAATGTTTTCAACCACCTTAAAGTCAACATATTTTTGTTTGCAAAAGGAGGCTTAAATTATAGACTATTAACTCCATATGCCTATCTATGACCTGGAACATACAGGCCAACACACAAACTGCCCCCTCCCGAACCAAGGCAAATGAAAAATCTGTCAAGCTCAACAAACAGACAACTTAATGCCACAAGCCGACCGGCCAAGCAATCCCACCAAGCCACAGGAGCTGCCAGGCCACTGGCCAGAGAAAGAGGATGGAGTCGAGGATGAGTTTGAGGAGGAGGACTCGATGACTTGGCCAGACTGGTCTCTGTGGTAAAATTTAATTTAACATACAATTCAGAAGGCCCGGCGACAAATTCTCTGGCCAGCAACTCCGGCCGCACAATGGCAGCCGAAATTGTTGCCAGGACACACACAAAGTTTCCTGCCGGCGAGGAGCTGGCTCAGGGACTGGGATCTCTGGCCAGAGGCTCGAACCCTTAATTATATTTAGTGTATGAAATCCTTTGGCCACACAATGGCCAGCAGCAGCAGAAGCAGGAAGTGAAAGTGGCCATGTCCTTGTCCCTGTTCGCCGTCGTGTTTAATCCAAGCAATTTGCAATTTTTGGTAATTTAACTTGACAAAACTTTTTAATGGGGCGCTTTTGACGTCAACCCCCTCCGGATAGGCCTTCGGACAATGGAATGAATGGCATTTGTGGCTCCCGTTCGATTCGATTCGCAACTGTTGCCAGGACTTCTTTCATAATCCCGGGAAGAACCCTTCATCCGGCCTTCAATAAAACCATCATATTTGATTGTTATGTACTTAAAGGCGAATCCCGTCATGTGTGCGCTCTTTGAATGCAAATTTTTCGTTTTCAATTTCGTTATCCGCCGCTGGTCTATTATATTTCATGATTTATGATTTCCTAGGAGAAGGGGTCACATTAAGCGGACTAAGGCGTTAATATCCTTGGTGCAGGCTTTGGAGAAGAGTTGTGGCAGTTTACGAGATGATTTGATTTTAATCTCTCACTGCCCTCGGGGAATAGCATTTTGTTTCTGCCAAAAACGGTGATGTGAGCAGATTTGTGAGCAAATATTTGGAAGTTAAGCAGATTAGCTGAGATTTATGTGAATGGAAAAAGTTTTGGGAAGAGGCTGTGGGGTTTAAAGTTGATACCTAACCTGGGAAAATTTTAAATTATAAATTATATATAATATAAATATCAAAGGAATATTTTAGGTTGTTGAATATATTATCTTATTTCAAGATATCTTACTCTGTGTGATATCAAAGAAAGCTACTCAAATACTTTATTATCCGGTTTATTAAACAGCAAACTTTCGTTTCCTTTTTCCATCTCTCAAATTCAACTTGAAAACTTCCGGAAATATCCCCCTCAAGCACAACTTCAATATTTCCTGATAGCTCTAATTACAAACAACATCGCAGCAGATCGCGTTGACAACAGAAGTTGCGACGCTGCTCAGGGAATATAAGTTTAAGGGACAAAGGAGGAAAATAAATGTGCCACCATAAGCCGCAATTTTTGCGCCAGAGTCGCAGTTTCCTCCCCTCCATCCGCCAAGAAGTAGTTTGAACTGTCAAAAATGACAAATAGTCCGTCGAGGATTTAATTTTGAATGCAGCGTTGCAGTGGAAATTAACTAAGCGTCCAGGTCGGATGAGAAAAAAAAAGCGACTTTCGCAACGGGGAAAAGTCGTAACGCAGCAACCACCGAAAATCTCACCGAGGAAGCCAGACGGAAAAGGGAATTAAAAGCGATCCATGGACTCATACACACACCTTTTCCGAGGGGGTGTGTTTACCAGGGGGATGGATGCAGCCGGGCCGTTTCATGTTTGTCCGGGAAATTAGTTTCTCTCACAGCAGTAGCATCAGCAGGAGCTTCATCATTGAAAAATAAAGGATTTTCTGTTTAGCGGGACGAGTATTTATAAATTACTCGTCCGGAGCACAATTGCTCAGCCATACGTTTTATTGCAATTTCTGCAAAATGCCAAATGAAAACCGAAAAGGTTGCCGGGGCTACTGCGATGGCGCACGTGCACCCTTCGACCTTCGGGCTATCCACTTATTAAAAATATTTGTTTGTTGTCTCTCCAACTGGGCATTGTCTGGCCTTGCTTACGATTCGTTGGGGCATGTAATTACATTTCTGGATTGCACCTTTTCAGATAACCAGCCCAGCTGGACAGGTCAAATGGTCTGGGATTGTTCTCTATTTAAAGTGAGTTGTGACTTATTTTGAAGATGTTTTCGCTATGAAATTATGATTTATATGAATGAATAAATTTAAAAGGATATTACTTAAAAGAAAGAAATCATTTGTTGATTACTTTCAGTACAGAACTATTTTAAAATAATTTTCTTATTACTTCTTTTTTGATGCTTTTAAATTTATATTCCCTCAGAAGTTTGTACAATTTTTTAAATTTTAATTATATTTCAAATTTTTGCGATTGCTTATTGTTTTTAAGGAAGAGTAAGCTTTGCTAGGTATACAATCACCCCACCAAATCGCTTAATTAATTATACCTCAACCCCTACCCAGAGCTCTTCACCTTTTTCACCAAAACTTGTCCAATTTATCGCTATTAATCATCGCATAATTTCGCTCATCGGAGGGCCATAAACTAAACTCATTAATTACTACAATTAGGCAGTGCACAGTTTTTTCCGCTCGCTCCCTTAAATTGTTTAATTTGCGCTTCTCCTGGCCAAATGCAACGCACGCGACTGAACAGAAAAACAACTTCCCATTTCGTAGTCGTTAAAGGAGCCCCCGCAAGGATAAGGAATAAAAAATGAAACGGAATGGAAATACAACTTATATATAGTATATATTTGTATGTAAAGCTGCCGTGCAGCTGTGATTAATGGCTTCTTCCAGCACGTCATAAGCGGGCAGGTCCTGGAGAATCCCAAACCCCGAGGCCCAAGGTACTGCCTCCCTTTCATTATCAAAGGCTGAGTGAGCAAGGTACTGAGGCGGGTACCTTTTTTTTGTATTTCGTATTATCCAGGACTCTGTCGTCCAGTCAAGTATAATTAACAACTTTGTCGGTGGATGGCGGCTTTCCTTTTGCTGTTCGTTAAGAAATTGCAAAAAGTTGTTGCCCGTTTTATGTAAATGATGTGTAAACACCACGTGCAGGAGTGCCCAGTGCCGAGTGCCCGAGTTCATAATAATCCAGGGCAGTGCAACAATGTGGCTGTTTTTTGTGAAAAATGCTCAGTGCATATCCATTAGGCGGCGGGAAGGGGAAGTTCCCTGTAACGAGAGTACAACGACACGTGTCGCCGCGATTTATTAGCATAATTTCTCTTCCTCAGGTTCACCAGTTTACATTTTTTTTCCGTTAATGCTCGCCACGGAAGCATTAAAGCGAAATGGATGTTCATCTACCCGAAATGATCCGGGGGAGGTGTGATTCGACCGGGCGGAGGACTCACCAAGTTTTCAATTTCCATGGCAGGCCCCGGGCATCATCTTCGTCAGCATAAATTTCCCAAGAACTACTGCTCCTTGTTCACTTAATTGTTGAGCATTTGTCAACCTGAGAACACACTCCTTGAACGCCGTCAGAGCCGGGAAAATCCACTCTCTCGAAGCCAACACGAGACACACTTTAAATTCTGGAAAACTCACTCCGACTCAGACTGAGTCTGGGGCTTGTGCTATTTATGTCTTACTTAGTAGCACATTTGCTGTGACTAGTTCGTAAACTAATTGGATTTGCAATTACACGCCCCACGAGAGCGAGACTGAGACACAGGGAAGAGCGGGTTGTGTGTGAAGTCTGTGTCAGCAGACGGGAGACTCAATGAAAAGCGTTGAAAAGCGAGATATATAGCGTCTGGAAAGTGAATGAATACTGCCATGAAAAGAGCAAGAATTTTTAGAGAAAGTAAAAAAGAAAAGCAGTGTTTTATTTTCCTTAATCAAAGGCAAATCCATAAAATGCAAACCAAAGAAAACCTCAAGCAGACCTCCACCCTTGTTGCCTGCATTCCTATCCATCCCTTCGATCGACCATTAAACTAATTGCTGGCATACAACATTTTTATTGCATTTGCCGGGGCCCTGCCTCCTTTCCTGGCATTCCATTCCGTACATGCCAACTCTTAATATGCATAACAATAAATGGCCATATGCGAGACGACGACGACGAGTGTGTTGGCCCAAACCAAATTTTGACAAAAGAGCAGTCAGAGGGGGCAGTCAGGAAAGCATTCGGAGAGAGAAACACCCACAAAACTCCATTTCAAACACAAACGAACACTCAAAATGGGGAAAATCAAAAGCAGGAAAAGCGAAAGCAAATTGCTCGAAGGCCTCACCTGTTCAGACCACAGTCCCAGGCGAACATTTCAATACAAATGGAGATTGGAAATTGGAGGAAGGCTCGAATAGGCAGCAAATTTCATACGAAATTAAATTAGATTTTTCGGCAGTGCGAGGAAATTGCAACACGCACGCAAACAACACCGGAAAATATTGAAGTTACACACACACACAGAGTGAAAGAGCAGCTCAAAAATATAGCTCACGAATTGCCAGGACTAAAAATAGCAGACACCGGATTTGCACGCAAAATTCTCGCCGAAATGACCGCCGGCAGTTTGTAGATAAACATTTGGCATGGCATTCCATATCTCGTATATACGACCTGCGAGCTGGGAGAATGAGTATCTGGGCATCTGCGAGTGGTTTGCGTGTCCAGTCAAACGGAAATGGGCAAATGCCTACGCAAATGTGCGCATTTCAATTAAATTTCCGTTTTAATCGTTTTTACAGCAGGCATGAGTTAAGCACGGGGTTACATCTACATGCCTGGCATGCCTACTCATTAAAACTGTGTCTGGGGTCAGGTCATGCGTTATAATTTGATGGCGTTGATCCTTGATCTCGAGTTACTATCTATTTGAGGTGAGTTTGCTGAGAAGGTGCTCTTCATGCTCAAGAGGTTGCTCTTGAAGGATAACCTTAACTCAAAGCCTCAATGCACTTTTAAAATAGAGGAAAGTAACATATTTCCACTTGATTTTAATGATATGCAAAAGTATATTTAGAAAATAATTTTGAGTTTTTTAATTAAAAGAAAAAATCCGCCCTCACATTTGATAATTTTGATTAATGCTATAAATAAAACTAAACAGAACTGCAGTTTCTTAAATCTTTTGAATTTCGATGTTTTTCAGCGGAAACAAACCTCTGCCCATCTGGCTTCAAGGTAGTCTCGCTGTCCGTACTCTCCTTATTGTATTCCTTGTTGTCCCACACCAAATTAATCGGAAAGGTGAACGAGATCGTGGAGCTGGTGATGGACATGCCAGTCAGCGTGGTCTCCGAGTCGCTTCTGTCGTTGTGAAGCTTATTGTATGGGACCAGGGCCATGTCTCCTTCGTCGCTTAGGCTCAAAGAAGTTTCACTCAGACGAGTGTCCAGATCACCATCTTGAAGGCCACATTCGCAGATAATCGGTGAAGTCCTTGTTCCACTATCCGCCGACTTCCATGCCGTGCTGGCATGTTCATAGTCGCCGCCCACAAGAGCCAGCATTGAGGACAGGGCCCGCTGCTCCTGGCGCCTGGCAGTGCCTCCACCGGCCTTGGACCGTGGAGTGGTCCTCAGACTATCCTCCAAGGCAGTGGGATTCCGACGTAAAAGTTTTTGTAGAGTTTTGAAGGAGTCGCGCATTTCCAGCAGCTGTCCCTCGTCGTAGGGATCTGTCAGTGGAGTGTTTGGCACCGATAAGGCGTTGATAAGAAAGTCCAGATCGTCGTCCATGGCTATAGGTTTGTTGAGGGCTTTTTTAAAGGGGGTATGACTCAACTCTATTTCAATTTTAGTTCAAATTTTGAGAGGCTGTAAGTGCTGAATGATTAAACGAAATAAGCCAACTTGCCAGTTATATTATTTTATTATTATTGTAAATCTTCGAGAATAGTTGAAATATACAATAATTAGCTATGAAAAGGAGCATTACTTGGTTCTAAAAATAATATTTTTAACTAAAAATTATACTTAAACATTTTCTTTTTTCCATTTGCTGTTTCCAAGGAGTTGTCCTTATCAAGTGTCAAACTTTTTTCATTAAATCCGACTGGAAGGCGGACACAGCTTTAAGAGAAGGCGGAGTAAGCCCCGGACTCCTACCCGTCCAAATACTACGCCACAAAGTCATTACGAACAACTTAAGATTGTGTTAAACACGCCTACATTACCAGATTTTGCATTGGGAGCCGGCAAAAAGCAAAGTTTAGGGGAAGCAGCTGGGCCCGAGAGCCAGAAGCAGCAGTAAACTGCAAGAAGAAGTGGAAAACTCCGGGTGGGAGGACCGTGTAATAATTGTAATTTCGCAGCAACATCGGAAAAGCGTCAACGGAAGAGGAGGCAAGGAAGGCCTTGCGGGCGAGGAAACACGAAAAATAACAATCAGAAAGCATTTAGCAGCAACTTCTCCCGAAAGCAAGAGTCTAGGGAGTCGAGAGTTAAGTTAACCGAAGTAAGTGTGTGTTGGCCCTGGCAGGTGGCTCCCGAGTGCGTGTGATTCCCCCTTTATGAGAAGGGACCTTTAACTGCCAGCAAAGGGAACGCACCATGGATTGCTTTAACGATTAAACAAGGAGCTGCAACGGAAACCATATAGGATATACCCCTCGCTCGAAAACAGCCACATAAATCTCCCTTTCGGGGGTGTTTCCATGGCCTGTTTTAATGGCCTGACCTACTTACGATTGCTACCCATGCCCCTTTTCCTGCCCTTTTTATTGAACACTTAAAGTAACTTGCTTCTTTTAATTGCGCAAATACCTATGAAAATGCCGGACAAGTTGAAAGTTTGTCTTGCCATTTGTCAGGCAGCAGCAAAATATGTTTAATAATCTGAACGCATTACCAAAACAGCAGCAGCCACAGAGGATAGGTGGGTATATAGGAAGGAAGCAGCCAAGGAAGGCGGTTGCGGTAGGGGTTGTGTTGGTCCTGAGCTCTGAGGGTTGCAAGAAAAACGACAACGGGCAAACACATGTAGACTACTCCGAAAAAGGCAGAGGAGGACTTCCAGACAGACAAAACAAACATCAAGGGTGAGATGGAAATATATTTGGAGAGGGGCAGCCAAGGGAAAGGAAAGGGAAGAGATAGCAAACAGAATACGTTGTTTGACAGTGGTACCAAGTCTGGGATTTTAATAAAGGAAGAAAAATTAAGAAATATAAATAAAAATATAAAATAAAACAGGGCTAATAAAAATATATAAAATTTGCCATTACATTTCAAGAACATTACATATAAAGTCCTATTCAGAAATAATATATAACATATATTGTACCATTTAACACCTTCGCCCCACTGTGCCGCACTCTCAGACATTGCTGCTCGTCTTTCCAGTCACAAAAGCCTATTAAATAACATGGTCCTACACATGCGACCTCTAAGAAGGGAAAGCAAAGGAAAAGACAGGAGCAGCAGCCGAAAGTTTGGCTCACAATTGCCAGGATATGGCACTGGTAGCCGGAATAGTAAGCGGTTGCAGGCAGGAGCCCCACCAAAGTGGTAACATGAAAATATGAAAATATTCATAGCTCAAGAGAAGAAAAAAACCAAGAAATAATGACGACGGAGACGACCATGACAAAGTGGCATGCAGGCAAATGGCAAAAAGTAAACAAATAAACAAATAGAGATGGGTAGCGGGGATCGGTATATATCCTGGGCTCCTCCATCTGCTCGTTAGACAAGGGGAAAAGTTCAAGAACGATGACGATGACGACGATATTCAGCCACCCATGTCTAAGACATTTGCATATGGACCAAGGCATCTTGGACCAAATTTAGGGGAAAATTCTATTATTTTAGCTGCTCAAACATAGATCTCCCCTCTCAAAAGTTCCTCCACTTGAGTCCTTTGGGCTCCATGTCTACATGTCTATGTAAAACACTCCACCCCCGGCCGATCCCTTTGAGCTGCAGCTGGAAAATAAATGTTCAATTTGTAGTTGTCAATTGGCTACTTAGAGCAAGTTGAGAGAGAGATGTGCATCATCGGAAACGGAGGAAAAAGGGAAATTCCAATGCAATTGAAAAGTAAACGAAACTAATGCTGGAATTTGGCAAAGTGCCATTGGCAAAGGCTGCTCTTTTGACAGTGAAATGGTCCTTGAAGTAAGGCAGAAAAATGAGGTGAAAATATACTGTCAGAGACTCTACATATATCTGATATAAAAGCCTTATTTATCTCCTATGCGCAGCATTAACAATTCAGCAAACAAGATGAGCACGCACAAGATGAAGTCATATCATTAACTCCGAGCCGAGCTATACCTTTTGGCCTCTCGATAAGCAGATCATTACTCAACGGCCAGGAACCCGCTTGGATCAGCTAAAAATGGCCAAAGCATAATAATAATTTGTTACATGTAAAAAAGCACAGTGCCAAAGGAGATAAACAAAATAAATGACAAAAGCATGTCAGCACAAAGAGCGGCAGCATCCGAAAAGCAAACTAAAATGGAAATGGAAAATGGATTCGCTGCTCGAATTTGGGAGGCTTTTTCCTCTCTTTTTTTCTTGTTGTTTTTTGTTGCAACCCTCAGCGATTTTCCACGGGACTACGACTACAGACATTTGCATAAATTATCATTTGGTGAGCCAGAACAAAAACGAAGCCCGGCAAGGCAAGAGATATACCTTTTGGCTGACTCTCAAGGAGAGCAAAATGGCTTGGGGTTGGGTAATAAAGGCAAATGCATAAAATAACATAAAATAAAACAAGAATTTATGTTGCCGGCGGAGAAGAACAACGAGCAGCGGCAAATATCAAACAAATTGCAATAAAATGCAAATTTAAATAGAAACGCAAAAAGTATAAATAAATTCTAGGCGGCAGCACTCTTGCGCATTAAAGCTCTCGAAAAATGTTCATTTCACTTAGAATTTAAATATTTTATGCTTAATTTTAAAGCATTTTATGGCCGAGCAGCAAGCCGCAGAGGTGCTGGGGAAAGGGGCAAGTCCCCGGGCTTCTGTTTTTTATTTATTTTTTTTTTGTTTAAGGGGGTTTTGGGGTTTCGTTTCCCCCTTGTTTGTTTCCGAGCAGCTGAGCACAGCTGTGAGCCAGTGGGAAGACAACATTTCCTTACATTTTAATACACTTTTCCCCCCAAAACACGCCCACACCAGCTCGCTGGGAGAAAGAGCAGAAAGCAACAGCCAAAGGCAGGTGAGGTGGGTTTTCCCCGCCGCCATATAAATTTTTTTGTAAGGAAAAACTTTTTCTGCACAATGAATTTTTGCGCATTTTCCACCTGTATGAGCTTGCCAGGGGGCTGGGAGGGAAACCCGGCCCAGGAAATCGATTCGTTGTGGTTGTTGCTCTGGTAATGAGACTTTCCACGACCAAAGCGGAAAACACCGCAAGGGTAAGGACAGCGCATTTTCCAATGTTTTTTTTACTCTCTCTCTCTCTCCCTACCAGCTCGTTTCGGGGAATTTGCAACTATGCAAATACAAGGTAAATAACAGAGCTTAGTCCTTCGGTTCAATTACTAGCAAAAGGACCTGCCAAAGAACCTTCTTCTACTGCTTCGCAGGGGAAAGGGAAAAGCTATTAGCCATGTATGGGAAAAAGGGAAGAGAAGTCTGAGGGGAGCAGCAACAAATCTCAGCTAATTAAAGTCAACAAGCAGAATCATTTGAAATGCAAATGTCAAGTGGCATAATGGCAAAATGTGGGTGTGTGTGGAATAATATGTGTGTCGTAGGATTTAAGCAAACAAAAGAGCAAAGGAATGTGTGAAACAGGAAGATATAAAAGAGTTGGAAGTGGATACTATATTGGGAGATTGTACTTTAAAATTAGTTATACGTATTTCTTAATTCTATTATTATTTTATTATAGTATCTAATAATGTATATAATAATTTCAATATTTTTAAGTTGAGTTCTACTACAATTTTAATGTGTTTTTGATTTTAACTGGTTTTAATCCAGCTGAAAGTCTGCTATGGGGCATTGGTGATTTCGCAACGTCTTCGTAACTAAGCCTTTTTGTGTGCATTTTTCTAAAGACCTCAGTTCAAAGAGTCGACCCTAAGATACTTCCAAAAACAAATTTTCTGCCACTCTCCCTAACACTTTCATTTAACACTTTTCCCCCGAAAACCCTCACATGCTTCCCATAAGGGTCCCCTGCCTAACCCGCACAAGGAAAGCAACAATTTTTTGCTCTTTAAAGTTGAAGTACACAGAAAAATTTGATGAGGGTAATTATTGGCAGACGCCGGGAAAAAGGGTAAACCGAGATTTATGGATAGAGGAAGCTGAGGCTACGACAAAATAAAAGAATTAAGATAGACAGGACTAGGAGCATGGCCCCATTCGAAGCAGGGAATTTCAATTAAAATTAGCACTTTGGTCGTTAAAATAAAATATTGCTAATTAGATTGGCATGGCCCGGGGGCCACACAGTAGTAGCTTCGTCTCCATCTTTTGCATTGATTTTAACATGGTCATGAATATTAAATTACCAACACACTGTGGGTGTGTGTATGTGTGGTGGGGGAAAAGTTTGTCTGCCATAAATTAAAATCAACGCCCATAGAACACGCCTCCTCTTTTCACTCCCACCCTTCGCCTTCTCTGAACAGCCGCCACTCAGAATGTTGACGGTAATTAACTTTTAGGCATTTTCTATGCATATTTATGTGGGGTGTTGGGAGCTCTCGCCTTGCTTGCATAACATTAACATGAACAAGGGGCTGGTGTCCTCCCCCTGACAGATGATGCGTGCAAGGCCGAGCTAAATTTTCGCTTTTCTTCTCTCTGGGAAGCCTTGGAAGTCCTACTTACACCTACAAGGACCTTGGCTACACATTAATCAGACACTCGCTTTCTATTTTTACACGCCATCTGTAAATGTCATAAATAAATAATGAATTAATCATACAG